TAATCAACCATCCCCCATTCCATTCCCCCATGAATATCTTATTTAACCTTCCAATCTTACCAATCTTTGAACCAATTACAGACGCCAAATAAACTCCTCAAGTTAGACGCCTTTAGTCTAAAAAATATCTTCAGAATCAAAGAAAATTTATGATATTCAGCCATAGTGATTAATATTCAGATAATATTATTAATATTCGAAGGGCAAGTAGTGGTGGGTTTAGTTTTTTTTTTGTTAATTTTGCCCCGAGGGGCGAGTTTATTGGGCAGCGCCACTCATCCTGGGAGTGGACACACCGTCTTAGTGACAGTATTGGGCAGCGTCACTCATCCTGTGAGTGGACACACCGCCATAGTGACAGTATTGGGCAGCGCCACTCATCCTGTGAGTGGACACACCGCCATAGTGACAGTATTGGGCAGCGTCACTCATCCTGTGAGTGGACACACCGCCATAGTGACAGTATTGGGCAGCGTGACTCATCCTGGGAGTGGACACACCACCATAGTGACGGTATTGGGCAGCGTCACTCATCCTGTGAGTGGACACACCGCCATAGTGACAGTATTGGGCAGCGTCACTCATCCTGTGAGTGGAAACACCGCCATAGTGACAGTATTGGGCAGCGTCACTCATCCTGTGAGTGGACACACCGCCATAGTGACAGTATTGGGCAGCGCCACTCATCATGTGAGTGGACACACCGCCATAGTGACAGTATTGGGCAGCGCCACTCATCCTGTGAGTGGACACACCGCCATAGTGACAGTATTGGGCAGCGCCACTCATCCTGTGAGTGGACACACCGCCATAGTGACAGTATTGGGCAGCGTGACTCATCCTGGGAGTGGACACACCACCATAGTGACGGTATTGGGCAGCGCCACTCATCCTGTGAGTGGACACACCGCCATAGTGACAGTATTGGGCAGCGCCACTCATCTTGTGAGTGGACACACCGCCATAGTGACGGTATTGGGCAGCGCCACTCATCCTGTGAGTGGACACACCGCCATAGTGACAGTATTGGGCAGCGCCACTCATCCTGTGAGTGGACACACCGCCATAGTGACAGTATTGGGCAGCGCCACTCATCCTGTGAGTGGACACACCGCCATAGTGACAGTATTGGGCAGCGCCACTCATCCTGTGAGTGGACACACCGCCATAGTGACAGTATTGGGCAGCGTCACTCATCCTGTGAGTGGACACACCGCCATAGTGACAGTATTGGGCAGTGCCACTCATCCTGTGAGTGGCACCATAGCAGCATGTACAACACTCCCCAATAGGAAGAAAACCCGCTGGGTGGTTCATCCTGTCACTTGTACCCAGACACAGCTGGGACTTGCTTAACTGTCTCAAGTGAACATCTTATCAAACAAGAAGATTAACATCTGTTAACCCATAACAACTTACGTTATCTTGCGGGTATTTAGTGTCGAGCGGATGCCCTTGTCTGTCCTTATTCTCGTTTGTTGTAAACTGTTGTTGTAAACTGTTGTTGTAAACTGCTATACAAATTGTGAGTGAAATTTAGTCAATGAGAAATGTACCCCCAAAGAGCAACGTCAATTTAACGCCAAATTAACGTTTAATCAACGCCAGTCTTGATTAAGTCTTCTTGATTAAGTCTTCTTAATTAAGTCTTAATCAAGTCTTCTTAATTAAGTCTTAATTAGGTCTTTTGACCTCTTCAATTGAACTACAGTAGTTTGATGTCGTTTGTGATGCTTGAATTGGTGCTTGTTAAGTAGTTCAGTTTTGTTGGTTCATTAGCTGGTATACCATAGTACGCGAGGTATACCACAGTACACGAGGTATACCACAGTACGCGAGGTATACCACAGTACACGAGGTATACCACAGTACGCGAGGTATACCACAGTACGTGAGGTATACCACAGACGTGAGGTATACCACAGTACGCGAGGTATACCCCAGACGCACATTTATCAACAAACACTAATTCAAAATCAAAATTTTTTTCAAATGTAAAACAATAGATTGGTTACCCAGCGGTGCCCGGGTCTCCCTCCCTTTTAGGAGGGTTATGTCAAGTTAGAGGGGTCATGACAAGTTAGGGGGGTTATGGCAAGTTAGAGGGGTCATGGCAAGTTAGGGGGGGTCATGTCAAGTTAGAGGGGTCATGACAAGTTAGAGGGGTCATGTCAAGTTAGGGGACGTCATGTCAAGTTAGGGGACGTCATGTCAAGTTAGGGGACGTCATGTCAAGTTAGGGGTGCACGTATACCTTCCCGGGTACAATGGAACGGGTGGAAGAGTGACAGGACACCGTCCCCCGGCACTCCACACCTTTCCCGGTAACTATTTGACGGATGACTGGTGGTGAGCGCGCGCGCGAGCGTGGGAACGCCACCTGACAGGGCATGAGTAGCTGGGCATAGGGCACTGAGAGCGCCTGGGGTACTAGAGCATGGGGCATGGGGCACTTAGTACGGGCACCCACATGGGGGCCCAGTACCCACCTCCAATCATAGGGAAAAGGGACTCGGTGTATAATTTTATCTGTCAACTATCTCTAAGTCAGTAGATATACACGTTCAGTACACAGTTATACATACAAGGGGCAGATTATACAGGGAAATACAGGTGATACATACAACGCAATACATAATCACAATGAAATCCCAAAATACAAATACAATACGTATATCTTGAGGTTATCTTGAGATGATTTCGGGGCTTTAGTGTCCCCGCGGCCCGGTCCTCGACCAGGCCTCCACCCCCAGGAAGCAGCCCGTGATAGCTGACTAACACCCAGGTACCTATTTTACTGCTAGGTAACAGGGGCATAGGGTGAAAGAAACTCTGCCCATTGTTTCTCGCCGGCGCCTGGGATCGAACCCAGGACCACAGGATCACAAGTCCAGTGTGCTGTCCGCTCGGCCGACCGGCTCCCTATCGTATCGTATCGTCAAAGTGGCAAATTCCCTTACTGGAAGACCAAGTTATTCATTCCATGGTACCTTGAAGCACATCTACGTGTCTCGCTACGAAACCGGTACATCTTTCCTCAATTATAGCAGTTCAATTTTCATTTATTAAACAAAAAAAAAATGACCTCCGACCTGTTTACGAGATTACTCAGCTCGCAAACGGTTCAAGTAGGAAAGATGTAGATGTTTCGTCAATGAACACGTCAATAAATCATTAATCCTTGGCCCCTAGGATCACTTTTCCTATAGGCCTGATCAAACCTGATCAACCAGGCTGTGATTCATACGTCAGGCTGCGAGCAGCCGCGTCTAACAGCCTGGTTGATCAGTCCAGCAACCAGGAGGCCTGGTCGACGACCGGGCCGCGGGGACACTAAGCCCCGGAAGCACCTCAAGGTAGCCTCAAGGTAGGCCTATTGATCTAATAACAGGGCCAGGCTAATGGCTGCCCCAGACGGACATGTGGGCAGCGTCACGTTCAAGAGTGTGAGGGTAGGTCTAAACTATCTTCCCACGCCGCTGGGGCTAACCACTCAACTAGCAGGGATCATTAACCAGGTGGTTTAAGAGCGTCTCAAGGAGGCGGTTATCACAGCGTCTCAAAAGACAAGTCACAGGTGCCCTCCATCAACTCCACCCTCTCAAGACAGACAAGCTCTCTTGGGTCCCAGATGGCCTAAACACATTCAATATAACCATACTCATAAACAAGGAAATGGTAGTGATATCTTCCCTCACACTGACTGATATCTCATCACCCAGCACCTCACTATTTTTTTACGGAGTGGCAAATCAAGAGGAAAAAAGCCCGGGTTTAAGAGAACTGAGCCCAGGAGCTGAAGCCCAACTCCCGGTAAATTCAGCTATAACGAGTGTAGTCTGCTTGTGTGTGTGTGTGTGTGTGTGTGTGTGTGTGTGTGTGTGTGTGTGTGTGTGTGTGTGTGTGTGTGTGTGTGTGTGTGCGTGCGTGTGCGTGTGCGTGTGTGTGTGTGTGCGTGTGCGTGTGCGCGCGCGTGTGTGTGTGTGTCTCTCCAGGTCAGAACCAATAATTAAATGAATTTTCAAAATTTCAAAATTATTGTATTTTGAAACTTTGTTTGTCTAACAAACAACGACATGTAACAGTGAACTAACACGAAAGAATTAGAACCTATTTAGACAGTTCACTCGGGGTTTATGTAACGATTAATGGTGTAATCATCAATGGGAGGGGGGGGGAGTTAAGGGGAGGGATGATTAATTTTAATTACGTGCCATTTGTTAATGGTAAAACAAAAACAAACAAAAGATATATATGTCCATATATCACTAAAAACTCTTTGACCCGGCCAGGATTCGAACCCATGCCGTCCAGGATCACCCCTAAACGTACACAGTACCGTGACCACCGAATCAATGATCGTCTATCGTCTTTCTCACATATGTCCATATATTCATATATGGGAGTAAGGTAATGGGGCAAGGTAATAGGGGGGTTAATGGACAATAGGGGGATAATGGACATAAGTACATCTTGATGATAAACAATAGGTAATAACTCATAATGGTTATATCAACAATACTACCCACCTACCTATCCCCTATCCTAAAGCCCCCACTAGCTCCTAGCCTCACCCTCCAGAGCTCCCCTCCCCCCCCCCCCACCATCCCAGCCCCATCATCCCCCACGCCAAGACACCATCCTAAGCCCCAGGCCGGCCCTCCAAGTCCCCTGGGGGACTTGGAGGGCCACCTGCCCTCGTAACTTTGATGTTTCTCCCTCACTCGAAAAACAAATACACAAGAGTAGCCCTTCAGAGCCAGCTAGAGAGGCCCAAGAGTCGTGCAGCCATAGATCAGCCACCTCACACACACACACACACACACACACACACACACACACACACACACACCATTCACCTTCTCAAAGTCCTTTTAGGATGATAGCGAGGCCTGTGTGTGTGTCCCAACCCCGAGCGGCGACTCTGTCCTTGGTCAGAGACAAGTAGTTCTTTGTGGCACTCGTTACCGAGGTACTGACGGGTGGGAGATAATGGCACCATGCGGCCCTCTGAGGTGGCCCAGACGGTGAGTGCCAGACCAGGGGGGGGGGAGGGTGGGGGAAGGGGGAGTGACAGGCGCCAGTTGCACTTAGGGTGATTATGTTGACCAGTCCGTCGCTAGTTGTAGGGTGACCACTGTTGTCTCACCTCCCGTCTGTCTGTCTGTCTGTCTGTCTGTCTGTCTGTCTGTCTGTCTGTCTGTCTGTCTGTCTGTCTGTCTGTCTGTCTGTCTGTCTGTCTGTCTCTCTGTCTCTCTGTCTGTCTCTCTGTCTGTCTCTTCTACTGGGCTCTTGCTCCTTATCTCTCATCTCTAGCCTAGTGTACCTCATACCTACCCCTCCTGTAACTCACCCAGTCTCCTGTACCCTTCTGTACCTCACCCAGTCTCCTGTACCCTCCTGTACCTCACCCAGTCTCCTGTACCCTTCTGTACCTCACCCAGTCTCCTGTACCCTCCTGTAACTCACCCAGTCTCCTGTACCCTCCTGTACCTCACCAGTCCCCTGTACCCTTCTGTACCTCACCCAGTCTCCTGTACCCTTCAGTACCTCACCCAGTCTCCTGTACCCTCCTGTACCTCACCCAGTCTCCTGTACCCTTCAATATGGCCAAAATACGAACCCAAATTCGCGAGTTGCTGGATCCCAGAAGTTTATACAATGAGAATCATATTCACCATTCACAGATCGATGGAGCTTTAACGGGATTTCGTTGGGATAAGTTAACCACAAGTTGGGATAAGTTGGGACATTGACTGAAGGGTATGTGGTTGTTGTTGTTTTAGCTACTCAGAACAAAAGTTCCAAGTAGCACGGGCTATGGTGAACCCTAGTGGACTTTACCTGGCATAGGAGCGGGGCAGTGGGTATATGGTCATTCATCACATTTAGTACCAAGTTACTCGCTCATGCTGCTGATGATATGGTCGTGATGTGTGCAATGTGTCTGCCATTGCAGGCTTTCGATTCCGTGCACCTCAACGTGTCTACAACGTGTCCACAACGTGTCTACAACGTGTCGGGAGCCGGTCGGCCGAGCGGACAGCACGCTGGACTTGTGATCCTGTGGTCCCGGGTTCGATCCCGGGCGCCGGCGAGAAACAATGGGCAGAGTTTCTTTCACTCTATGCCCCTGTTACCTAGCAGTAAAATAGGTACCTGGGTGTTAGTCAGCTGTCACGGGCTGTTTCCTGGGGGTGGAGGCCTGGTCGAGGACCGGGCCGCGGGGACACTAAAGCCCCGAAATCATCTCAAGATAACCTCAAGATAACCACCTGGTTAATCACATCACACGAACGAAAAAACATCCCAACATCCTGCGAGTTTTGATGTTAATTCAACAGGTTAACTAGCTAGTAACTCATAATGTAACAATTATGCTTGGGGTTGGACGGTAGAACGACGGTCTCGCTTCCTGCAGGTCGGCGTTCAATCCCCGACCGTCCACCAAGTAGTTAGGCACCATTCCTTCCCACCTCCGTCCCATCCCAAATCCGTATCCTGGCCCCTTCCAAGTGCTATATAGTCGTAATGGCTTGGCACTTTCCCCTTGAAAATTCCCTTCTACCTCTCGACACACACACAAACACTTTAGCCTCTCACATAGTCAGGTACATAGATGCACATATAAATACAAAACTATAATACCACTAATCATCACATTAGCAATTATAAACAACCTTGTACCTGAACAGAACAAAGGGTTAAGAATCTCTTTAGCTTGGACTCCATCCCTCAAATATTATAATATAAGCATTGCAGCCTAATTAGCACGTAGCAAGGATTAGGGGTTAATCTAGACCTGGATATCCTCATCTCTATTCTTAAGACTATATAGTCCTGCAAACATTCAGATCTGAAAGGATAAAAATTGAATCCCACAGTCCTGAAAGTATAAAAAGCTGTGATATGTTTTGATCTGAAACCTATGTTTATGGGTTGAACGTCCAACAGACTGTGCGACACAGTGGTTGCCAGGATCAGGTTGGGTTACTGTTACCTATGGCAGGTTGGGTTACCGTTACCTGTGGCAGGTTGGGTTACCGTTACCTGTGGCAGGTTGGGTTACCGTTACCTGTGGCAGGTTGGGTTACCGTTACCTGTGGCAGGTTGGGTTACCGTTACCTGTGGCAGGTTGGGTTACCGTTACCTGTGGCAGGTTGGGTTACCGTTACCTGTGGCAGGTTGGGTTACCGTTACCTGTGGCAGGTTGGGTTACCGTTACCTGTGGCAGGTTGGGTTACCGTTACCTGTGGCAGGTGGCTACCGTTACCTGTGGCAGGTGGCTACCGTTACCTGTGGCAGGTGGCTACCGTTACCTGTGGCAGGTGGCTACCGTTACCTGTGGCAGGTGGCTACAAGTGACAATAGCAATAAGATCCCCCACAGATACACCTTCCTGTACTACGACCACCACCACTACGACGGCTACTGTGACAACTACCCCTCCAACCACGACGACTACTGCGACAACTACCCCTCCCATCACGACGACTACTGCGACAACTACCCCTCCAACCACGACAATTTCAGCTACTCCACCTTCAACCATCACTACCACTCCGAGGGGTAATGATGCCATTCTAAGCAGCGCCGCCCTATCGCTGTGGACGGTAGGAGAACCAACAGTGCCACTAGTTTATGGCACTACTCGCTTCAAGTGAATAATTATGTGAATGTGAATCACTCTCCCTTCCCCTGGTACCAGCTGCTCCGGGCCTGGGCCAGCTGGGAGGCTTCTGGTACCAGATGCTCCGGGCCTGGGCCAGCTGGGAGGCTTCTGGTACCAGCTGCTCCGGGCCTGGGCCAGCTGGGAGGCTTCTGGTACCAGATGCTCCGGGCCTGGGCCAGCTGGGAGGCTTCTGGTACCAGATGCTCCGGGCCTGGGCCAGCTGGGAGGCTTCTGGTACCAGATGCTCCGGGCCTGGGCCAGCTGGGAGGCTTCTGGTACCAGATGCTCCGGGCCTGGGCCAGCTGGGAAGCTCCTGGTACCAGCTGCTCATGCCCTGAGCCAGCTGAGAAGCTCCTAATACCAGTTAGTCACTTAATACCATCATGAAATTACTGTATTTCATTAAAACCTTCTGGTTTGGTTCCCAAAATAATACTTTTTTAATAAAACCCCCCAATTTTTCATCTATTCACACCAAAGCAAAACAAATAATTCTTGGGTAACAAAAAAAGACTTTTTTGTTTTCCTTTTACTAGTTTTTTTGTTTTCTTTGTTCAGGGGCTATTGTGTCTTGACGCTGGGGGCTGGAAGACATTAGATATATGAGGTGGTTCCTTGATACACTTTAACTACCATTTAACCCGATTTAGCTGTAAAAGAATGGTCTGGTTGTGTGATGGATGGGGAGTGGGGGGAGGGTACTGGCACGACTACAATAGGGGGGGGGGGAGGGGGCTGTCACGACTACAATAGGGAAAGGGGGAGGGGGGCCTGTCAAAACTACAGTATCTTGAGGTTATCTTGAGATGATTTCGGGGCTTTTTTTAGTGTCCCCGCGGCCCGGTCCTCGACCAGGCCTCCACCCCCCAGGAAGCAGCCCGTGACAGCTGACTAACACCCAGGTACCTATTTTTACTGCTAGGTAACAGGGGCAGAGAGAGAGTCCCAGTCTAAACTATACTGGTGAAAATATAGTTCAACCAGTATATATATATTTACCACTTACGTTCCAATCAACTCGAACATCATACACTCAATCAAGGATACCGGGGTTCGATCCCCGCTAACGAGACACTTGGAACAACTACTCAGTACTCTTAAGAGCTAGATCTAAATACAACACATTTGTATTCAGTGCCACATGGAGTGCCACTGCCAGGGAAGGAGAGAGGCACCTCAACCTTCAAACTGGCACTGATGTGTGTGTGTATGTATACACAGCTGCAACACACCACACACACACACACACACACACACACACACACACACACACACACACACACATGGTTTCAAGTGTAGATATGATAGAGACTAATAGGCTCAGGAAACTGTACACCTGTTGATTGACGGTTGAGAGGCGGGACCAAAGAGCCAGAGCTCAACCCCCGCAAGCACAACTAGGTGAGTACACACACACACACACACACACACCACACACACACACACACACACACACATACACACACACACACACACACACACACACACACACACACACACTGTTGTGTGTGCTTCATGGAACAGGAAGCGTGGAACAGGAAGCTAGGAGAGGGGGACGCCAGGCATTCCTATCAATGACTAGTGGAACAGGAGTGCCTCCCAGTGCCTTTCCCAGGCCCTGGTGACTCAGAGTTGGAGTGGAGGGTAAAGTGAGGGGGATGAGTGTGCCAGTGTGGGGGGGGGGGGAGGAAGCAGGTGTGTGTGTGTGTGTGTGTGTGTGTGTGTGTGTGTGTGTGTGTGTGTGTGTGTGTGTGTGTGTGTGTGTGTGTGTGTGTGTGTGTGGTGGGTGAGGGAGAGAAAGCAGGTGTGTGGGCGAGTGAGAGGAAGCAGTTGTGTGGGTGAGGGAGATAACCAGATGTGTGGGCGAGGGAGCGAAAGCAGGTGTGTGGGCGAGTGAGAGGAAGCAGGTGTGTGGGCGAGTGAGAGGAAGCAGGTGTGTGGGCGAGTGAGAGGAAGCAGGTGTGTGGGCGAGTGAGAGGAAGCAGGTGTGTGGGCGAGTGAGAGGAAGCAGGTGTGTGGGCGAGTGAGAGGAAGTCAGGTGTGTGGGCGAGTGAGAGGAAGCCAGGTGTGTGATGTGTGAGAGAGATCCAGTCATCATCAAAACAGAATTATCTTCGCACTAATTTGCTAGAGCGGCCGTGTGGGGCTGAGGGCGCCTCGCTATAACGACCTAGTTATAACGCAACTACATGTGACCCCCCCCCCTCCCCTCCTCTTCCCCGGCGGTGTGCGGGTCTACCACAACCCAGAACTCTCCCACACACCCACAACCCCCCCCCCTATCACCATTTTCACCACACACTATCTCAATCACTAATCAGGCGGGGGCCAAAGAGCTGTAGCTCAACCTCCGCAAGCACAACTAGGTGAGTATAATCACACACGCTGAGGAGAAACCACAAAGCCGAAGCCCAACTCCGTTCCAAGCACAACTATGTGAATACAACTAGGTGAATACACACACATACATATTTATACATTTCTGAGTGTGCAAATACAGGTCTCGACATGCAGTGTGCATCTCTCAGGCTAGATAACCAGACACTAGATAACCAGATAACCAGACACGCTATCGTCTTATTTAAATCTATAAATAGAGTTTTACGCCAGCAGTGTAGTATTCACCTAGTGTGGTCAGTAAGGGTGTGGGAGCAGTGTAGTGTGGTGTGGGAGCAGTGTAGTGTGGTGAGTGAGGGTGTGGGAGCAGTGTAGTGTGGTTAGTGAGGGTGTGGGAGCAGTGTTCACACACACACACACACACACACACACACACACACACACACACACACACACACACACACACACACACACACACACACACACACACACACACAGTCCCAGACTAGTCCACAGACTAGACACAGACTAGTCCCAGAACTAAGAGGCATGAGTTACGAGGAAAGGCTGCGGGAAATGCACCTTACGACACTGGAAGACAGAAGAGTAAGGGGAGACATGATCACAACCTACAAAATCCTCAGAGGAATCGACCGGGTAAACAAGGATAAACTATTCAACACTGGTGGTACACGCACAAGGGGACACAGGTGGAAACTGAGTACCCACATGAGCCACAGAGACGTTAGAAGGAACTTTTTCAGTGTCAAGTAGTTAACGGATGGAATGCATTAGGCAGTGATGTGGTGGAGGCTGACTCCATACACATTTTTAAATGTAGATATGATAGAGCCCAGTAGGCTCAGGAACCTGTACACCAGTTGATTGACAGTTGAGAGGCGGGACCAAGAGCCAAAGCTCAACCCCCGCAAGCACAAATAGGTGAGTACACACACACACACCACACACACACACACATACACACACACACCCACACACACACACACACACACACACACACACACACACACACACACCACACACACCCACACACACCCACACACACACACACACACACACACACACACACACACACACACACACACACACACACACACACACACACACACACACACACACACACACACACACACACACACACACTGCTCTTAAGTTCTCGCATCTCTCACTCCGGATCCTTGGAGATGATTCGGGATGCTGGGACTCGTGTCTGTACTCGTTAACGGGGTAATTGGGGCTGCTTGAGCGTGTATTAAGGTCGTTAATAGTTAACTGTGGCAGTAGAGGTCGAATCTGTGATCGTTAACAGACTTTATTAAGCTGCCTTACGGAAACACCGACTAGTAAACAGCCAATCTTGACTTCTTAGTGTACGTGTCTCTGTACTCATCAGTTTGTTTTGAACCTGCAGGATCGAACTCTAGCTCTCGGAAGCCTGTTTTTCTAAGCCGTTGGTTGTTTAATGCAATGATTCCTGGCTTATTTCTCAATCATACCTGCTTTTAAAGTTATGAATGGAGTTTAGCTTTTACAATTCAACCCGTTCTCGCAAATTTAATAAGTCAATATTGACTTATTAAATATGTGCATAGGTGACATACTTAACATAATAGTTTCCCTTGAAAAGCTTCATAGAAAACACTGACCTTACCTAACCTACTTAGTATGTTAAGATAAGCATCTTATTGCTTCGTAATTACAATTATTACCTAACCTATACCTATGATAGGTTAAGTAACAATTGTAATTACGAAGCTATAAGATGCTTATTTTAACATAGTAAGTAGGTTAGGTAAGGTCGGTGTTTTCTATGAAGCTTTTCAAGGGAAACTATATGTTAATATGTACCTATGCACGCAACTAATAAGTCAATATTGACTTATTAAATTTGCGAGAACGGGTTGTACAATTTGCTCTTTTGGTCATTCCATTTACTCACTGTACCACAGAGCAGGTGCTCTTCTGAGTCGGTCGCCTCTGGTCAATGGAATGTTTCCATTAAGGTGTTTGCAATCAAAATAAACTTTTCAGTACTTTAAAGACCCTTCAGGTGGTCAATGGTCGCCTGGGTCTGACCTCTCCTTAGAGGTTTCCTTGGGTATATTGGTTATGCTCGGCTCTTCCTCTGAAGGCATTTGGTTATCTCATCAGCTCTTATCACGCATTCAGAGGTCAACTTACGATGGAATCCACATAAAATGTTCTCTCTTAAATGAACAAATCCACAAGGGCCGTGACGAGGATTCGAGGTAAAGTAGTTTCGGCCCTTGTGGATTTGTTCATTTGATGCATCACGTTAGTGTGATCTCTGTGTGTGATGTTCCCTGTTATCTTGAGGTTATCTTGAGGTTATCTTGAGATGATTTCGGGGCTTTTAGTGTCCCCGCGGCCCGGTCCTCGACCAGACCTCCACCCCCAGGAAGCAGCCCGTGACAGTTGACTAACACCCAGGTACCTATTTCACTGCTAG